GATGGAGGAAGAAGGGGGAGCAAGATGGCACAACGCAGCTCCCCACGCAAGACTCCAACGCACGTACTCCAAAATGTGCAAGTGAGGAATGAGAATGAAAACAGACAATGGCTGGGGTATACCCCAGCGTACTGACGGGACTGGACTGGACTGGCTGGTACCGACAGAAGTACCGGCCTGGACTGGCCTACCCCAAATATAACACAGGCCTGTGAGAACAGGCCAAGGGGCTGGTCTCACAGGCCATCCCGAGGTCCGCTACACAACCCCCATACTTATCTGTCCCATACCTCACCTTCGCTCAAGTCTACCCACGCTCATAGCCCGTATATCAATAAAGTCAGACACAACCCCGGCACCTACACCCTTCCCCGCAACGACCCACACACCATGGCAAGCTCAGTACCGGGCCAACATGTTGTCCCACATGCAGGGCAAGGCGCAGGACCCCAACACACACCGCAATCCATCCCTCCAACTCACACATCAGCTGATCTGGCCAGGATTCAAACACTGCTTTACAGGTGTTATGATGATGGCCTCTTCCCCGACGACCCCATTTCACACGGCGAGGTTGAAATCATAGAAGGTGTCGGCTATCTCAACATTAATGAAAAGATAGACACGGCCACAGTCAGCTGGCTTAAAGCCAGAACTGTGATCGTGGTATTTCAGACCAGGGGGCAAGCTCTGTCCATAGCCCAACGTGAACAGTTCATCCGCATCTACGAAGATGCATGGTACCAAAACGCAGACTTCAATCCTTCTCAACGACGCGGTAGAACACATGGCGAAGGACCAAACATCATGTCCTACGCCGCCCGCTCCCAAAGGATTGCGGAACACCTCATCAACAAAGGGCAGGACACCATTTCTTCCCGACAGGGTCCGATCCGTGTACTGTTCAAGCCATGGATGACTCAGCACGAGCTCGATCTCAAAAGAAATCGGGAATCAGCCGAAAAGTACAGGATTATAGCACTGCGGGTGCCCTTGGGCGCCATGTTTTCACTCAGCCATGCTATCCGGAACTTAATAGCTCCCATCATTGAAATTCATCCCCCGGAAAAAAACGTGGATGAACCACGGTTGGGCAACGTGCGCATTGACTGTGATCCCGTAGCCAGACAAAATTACATGGAATAGATCGTCTTACGCAGGCCCAACGGACAGGATCTCCAGATCCAACTCGCCAACCAGGACACTCCTTTTTGCAAGAGGTGTCTCTGGTAGTTTCACGATGAGTTTGATTCGGAATGTCCCAGAATCAACGAACCAATGCCTCCAGGACAAGGCAGAGGCAGAGGCAGAGGTCGAGCACCAAGAGGAAGAGGAGGCCGTGGTCCTCCAATCCCAGTACCTCGGGGAGACGGTTCATCACATCCCTCCAGGAGCACAGGCTTACAGAATCCGAACCATGCCCATCGCCAAGCCTCCCCGCCCCGTCTCCCAGCCTATGCCCACAGCAATCACCACGGCCATGGTACCTATAACCGCGACTCCACAGCTACACCCACACCCACCTCCACCTCTGTCACAGGGCCCCGCGGATAATTCCTCTCATCAGCCGCTTCTCCAGCATCCACCACTGCAACCTCAGCTCCTCCAAAACCTGCACGCAATGCAACCCGCATCATATTACGGTACCACACATAATTCCCACAATGTTCAGCCTCCACAACAAGCCCTCCCCCCTCCACCCTTGAACACACCTCAAGCTCTGCTCCCTCTCTCAGGTCTCCTTTCGTCCCCACCACTCGTTGCCATACCATATCCACAAGCCCCCCTCCCTCTGCAGCTTTCTCCCCCAATAGCAAGCGGGCTTCACTCCCTTGCTGTTGCTCACCAGCCTCCAACGAACCAGCCTTCCTTCGCACTAGCCCGGTCCTCAACTCCAGTCTACCATCACCCAGTACACTCCCAACAGCCCCCCATTCCCACTTCCAACAACCACTTTCCACCATATCGCACCTATAACAACCCCGAATACCAGCACAACCTTCCACATCTCAAAATGAGCCTCCCTCTCTCTCTCTCTCTCTCTCTCTCTCTCTCTCTCTCTCTCTCTCTCTCTCTCTCTCTCTCTCTCTCTCTCTCTCTCTCTCTCT